TGCAATAGTGATTTTGACACTATAAAGACCACCATAAATGCTTTAAAGGGTGGGAGCTAGAGCTTAGTGATAGAGCATTTGCTTGACATGTGCAAGGTCCTGGGTTCCATCCCCAACATGAGAAGGACAGATTGACATGTTCAAAAAAATTATTATTTTGAAGTTTATTGTTTGCTGGTTACTCTTACCAAATTCCACAAACCCCCACCCACTTCTTCTCTCAAAAATTCTATGGGAAATTTTACACTGTATATTTGGTTAATTTCCATAGTAGCTTAAGGTCTAATGTACTATTAGTAAAATAACCAAACTGAAGAACAAAACTTTGCTCCTTCATTCTTGAAGACAAAAGAGTGTGTGTATAAAAAATTAGAATAAGGGGCTGGAGAGATGGCTCAGCAGTTAAGAACACTGGTTATTCTTGCAGAAGACCCAGGTTCGAATCTCAGCACCCACATGGCAGCTAACAACTGTCCGTAACTCCAATAGACTCTTCTGACCTCTGAAGGCATAGCACAACACGGGTGCACTTACCCACATGCAGGCAATACATGCATACACATAAAATAAAAATAATAATTTTTTTAAAAGTTTAGAAAAAATTCGGAATAAGTAAAATGTTCACCAAAAAACCTGTGTCCCAAATTTAGTGGATAGTAGATGACTCTTTATACACTACTTATTCCAGAATACACAACTGACTCATGCTGATCTAGACAAACTTTAGAAACAAATCTTGTTTTGGAGAGCACTTGCCCTTCAGTAAAACTGGAAGAAAATGCCTGGAAGTGATAAATTCAGCCCTGGTCTTTGCACCTGGGTAAACAAGCCTTGCCCTCTTCAGCTGGCACAGTTCTTCTGTCATCTAGTCCAGATTGCTTTCCCTAAACCACCTCTTCCCATGTCTACCCCCTCCCAACAAATCCAGATTCAGGATCTATTACTGCAAGGGGTGGGCAGGCACACAGAAAGGTTGGGAGACAGGAATTGGAGGGGCAGCTGGGAGCAGCCAGGGAGCCCAGCTGGGAAAGCACAGTAGTTTTCAGCATGCTGTGTTTAACATGTGCTCCCCACACCCACAGCAACAGCACCATTGGGCAACTCTGTTACAAATTCTTGGGCACAGACCCAGACTGTCTGGAGTAGAGAAGCTGGGATGAGCCCAGCAGGGTATACTTGATTAGACCTATAGATTATTGTGGTACGGTTTTAGAGCATCAGCCTTGAGGGACAGTGAATGACTTGGGTGACTGAACAGAGGATGAATGCAGCAAACTACAGCCAAATAGCCTTGTGTCCCTGTTCCTGGGACATTATGATCCTTCAGCAAGTGGCTCGTGCCTGCATTCTCAAAGTGGCGTGGCCCTTCAGCAGTGGAACTGCCTAAGGCTCCCTTTGCTTTCCATGTGATTGAGGATCTCTTGTCTCTTGTTTTATTTCATTGGATTAGAACTATTTTTAACATGGAGGGTAGCCTAATTACTTTGTATTGTTGTGATAAAACACTGACCAAAACCAACCTGTGGGAAGAAAAGGTTTATTTCATCTTATACTTCCAAGGCACAGTCCTCCTTTGAGGACTAAGTCTGGCAGGAACTCAAGCCAAGAACTTAAGAAAAGACCACAAAAATTGCTGCTTACTGACTTGCTTCCTTTGGCTTGTTCATCTGCTTTTCTTATATAGCCTGGGTCCACCAGCTTTGGGATGGCATAACAAAGCTCAGGCAGATGGCTACATTGGTTTTCATTTAAAATGTGCTTTATCCTTTGAAAATGCTTTTCCACTGATGCACTTTTTTTCTTTGTTAATTTGATTTTGGTAAATTTTGGTGAAGGACTTAAGGTCTTACCTCAGAGTTCTGTCAACCTAGGATATGCTAAGGACTTTTAATTTTGAACATCATAATTAGTAAAAACCCAGCAAAGAATTTTTAAGTGGTTGCCAGGAAACTTGAGGTCTCAGTGAAATTTGTATATTGAGTAATTAAACTTTTCATTCAGTCTTTCAATGTAAGTTCCCCTATCAGAGGAAAAATTGTTATTGGAACATTTGGGTTTGTTTTTTTTTTTTTGTCTCCCTGTATCCCTTGAACTCATTATGTAGACCAGACTGGCCTCGATCTCACAGAAATCCACCTACCTCTGCCTCCTGCGTGCTGGGATTAAAAAGGTGCATGCCACTCCTTCCAGCTGGAACATTTGATTTTTAAGAATTCCAACTTTTAAGATATTTTTGACTTTTAAAAACATGTCTTGGCAAATGTTCCTCTTTCCTTCTTTCTCTTCTCTTTTTTTCTTCTCCCTTCTTCTCCTACCTCCTTATAAAATTAGAAAAGGCTTCTAATCTCTTCTAAAAATAACCTTTTCGTCTTTGAGTCGGATCATGCGTGGTATCACTCTCTGGTTTGGAACGCAGGATGGCCTTGAACTCATAGCAATTCTTCTGCCTCCACTTCCCAAGCACTGGTAACACAGGCACAAACCACCACATCTGGCTAAAAATAAACTTTATTTGAAGAAAATTTAAGAATTCAAAAGAAGTGTGACAGAATGGGAGGGTCAACTTGAAGTTGATCAGTAGTCAACACAATAAGAAGAACAAGAAGAAAACTTACATGGAATGTTGATTGGAGATGTCTAGGCTCAGGACGAAGCTTTGGGAACTGAAGAGACAGAGGACATGGGATTCTGTGTGACGGGTTGTATGTGGCAGCTATAACGTTAAGAAGAAAGCTTTTCTGCGTCAGTCATTTGCCACTTGACTTAATGAGTACTTATTTCCTTTTACTGAGACTCAGTCTTTACACTAAAAATCAGTTTCGAAATATATGTTTTCAGTGTGCTCAAGGAGCTAAAAGAAAAAAATGTTTAGCCTTTTAGCTGTAATTCATCTGTTTCCCTTTTTGACTAGTACTCTGCTGTATTAAAATACCTTGATTTATTTAGCCATTCATATAATAAATATAGCTTGTTGAATTCCAGGTTTTGTTTCTATAATTAATAAACATTCCTACATAAATATCATTTGATGCATGCACTCAAGGCTTAGAAGAACCAATGAATGGAGCTGGAACTGCTGGGCACTAAGCTATAAGCCGCTTTCCTAGATGACGTCAAATGGATTTCCAAGTGGTTGTAACTATTAATACTTCCACTAGAACATTTAGAATTTCCCATTTTCACATGGTTTTGTAGATAATGTTGTTTCTTGACTTAAAATTTTTGTAAAACTGGAAAGCACTAATTTTGAATTCTGTAGTTTCATTTTGCAGTTACCAATGAGACTGAGACTATTTTAATAAACCCAGGAGTTATTTGTATTCCCTCCTTTTGAGGGATGCAGGGAATTTAACCTAGGGGTTTATGCATGCTAGGCCATGCTGTACCACAGAGTAGATCCCCAGTCCTCTTTTAGCTTTACATTTTGAGACAGGGTCTCACCCAATTTCCTAGGCTGGCCTTGAGCTCACTTTGCTGCCCAGGCTGGCCATGACCGTGCAACCCTCCAGCCTTTGCTTCCAGAGTAGCTGAGATTACAGGTCTGCACCACCAGGCTCTGGTGCTCCATCCTTGTTGTTTCAAAAATGCTTATCTAGATATTTTTTCAAAATCGTAGAATCCAATTCTCTTCCGTTTTCCAGTCACATATATTGGAAATAAATCTTACCAGTTTGGGATCTATGTTTTTACACTGGTAAATGATATTTTGATATCTAGGATGCTTAGTTTAAATTTTTGATGGTTCACATTTTGTTTGTGTGTCTTAAGAAATTCTCTTAGACTGTCCTTTCAAGTTTGAGAGTTTTTCTTTTCCCTTTGGGTCTTTAAATCTCTTATAATTAATACTCGTGTGTGTGTGTGTGTGTGTATGTATGTGTGTGTGTGTGTGTGTGTGTGTGTGTGTGTGTAGAATCTGATAGTGATCAACACACAACCAATTGTATCACTGTTGCTTAATGAATAATTCATCACCTTCATGTTATTCCGCATGGTCGCCTCAGTCAGACTGATACCAAGGTTTCATATGAGTGTGAGTCAGCTTCTGGGGTCTCAATTCTGTGCCCTTGGTACAGTTCTGTTCCACTTTCACATTGTCTTATTTAGAACATATTTATAATAAATGCTGGTATCTGCTGATAGTGAACATTGTCATGTTCCTTTCCTGGAGTTTAAAAACTTTTTTTTCTATATGAAATATAACTATCTTGAGCATTTTCAAACACAAGAACATGTTTTAAAACAACACACTTCTCATTCAATTTTATGTCTTATAGGACTTATACTGAGTTCAATATTGTATACTTGTATTAATTCAACTCTGAACCTAGAAACTTACAGCCACTTGTGAAAGAGATGTACTCTTGCTTTGGAGTGTGTTACTGAATATGTTAAAGCTGTAATGAAATGCTTCTTCTAATCATGTAGTTATAAAAAATTAAAAAAAAAACACACCTCAAAACAGCATATGTGACATGATACACATAACAATTTGGTTTTTACAATTAAAAATACATATAGAAAAGGAAAAATGTTGCAGATACATTCACATGCATATGTTAAAATATATAGCTAATACAATCTTTCTTGAATTACATCAAATATGTAGAAAGATTTAGGAGATTTGTGATAAATTTGTGAAGATTTCCAGATTTGTGATATTTAGCTTTCTGTCATCAAACAGAGATTATCTATTTATTGAGGTTTCAACTTACTCTCTTTTCTTATCTTTTGGATTTTCATTGGTCATTTTTATGTCATCACTAATGAATGTATTTCTGGGATGAATACCTGTTGGTATTAATTCAGAACTGCCATTTTTCAGTGGAGTACTAATATATATATTTCAGGACATCTAACTGAAGTAGAAGGCCTATGTAGAGTATTCTTACAAGCTATTTCCTATTGAAATATGCAGGACCATTTTTAAACTTGTTTCCTCTGCCATTTTGCATACATGTGCTTAAAAGAAATATATTTCTACTTACCTTCTAGGAGGCAAAATGCTAATCAGTGAAAGAGCCTATTGCTGGTCAGGAGCAATAGCCTGAAGCAGATCAGAAGGATATTTAGTTGACATGAAATCCAGAAAACTCTCAAAAGATCACAGTCTTACAGGTACAAAAATTTATAACACTATAATTTTTCCATGTAAGTGAATCAAATCCATTACCAGCAAAGTGTTATAGATAATTTTAAAAACTATAAAATAGTAATATTACCACAAGAATAGCCACATCATCATTAAAGATCAATGTTTTCCTCTAAGAGTGCACTAACAGGGGCTGGAGAAATGGCTCAGTGGGATAAAACACTTGCAGCAGAAACATGAACATCTGCTTTTGTGCTCCCCCATGCATGGAAAAGCTGGATGTGGTGGTGTGCATGTCTAACACTGTCACTGGGCATCAGAGGGAGGCAGTAGAGCTCACTGCACAGCTAGGCTAGCCAATGAGTGAGCACCAGATTCTTTGGAAGATCCTGTCTCAAGAAATTAAGTGGAGAGCACAACGATAGAGGAATATTTCTGATGTTGATGTTGGGCCTCCAGAAACACATATGCACATAAGTAATAAATAAATAGTAAATAAATAAGTAAATCACACAGATTACACTAAAAATTCATTAATTAGTAAGTGGTACACACTACAAATCTAATAAACTTGGGAGTGTGTAAAAGATTTCTGGAAGCTGAAACAGCCATAATTGAATTGGTAGCCACAGAAATGCTGAGTTTCAAGAGAGTCAGGACAACTGATTAAAGATATCTGGGAATAAGAGAGATAGTACTTCTATTTTCCAAATTTATATCTTACATCTTTTAATAAATGGCATAACTCATTTGACTCAAGATAACATTTCTACAAACATTAGGCAAAATTCTGACCATTTTCACAAATTCTTTTTGCCTAGAGACCCTCTGCTATCTTGGTTGCTCACCCTGATTTTCAGAGTGTTATTGTTTCTAAAGCAATATCAAGTTCATAAAGTCCTTAGAGTCATGATTAGTATTGTCTGTTAAAGCAAGAGTCACGATAAACATAAAATGACCTTAACATTATGTTTTCCTTCACTCCGCTGAGCCCATTATTTACCATTATAACCTCACAGAATTTCAGTGATCTGTATGCAGGTTCAAAGACAATCTGTTTTTGTCAATGGTATTTTTCACACACATATACACATACACACAAATACAATGTTTTTAAAATTTATCAATATAAACTTATCTAAGGTAAATGCCTCAAAAAATAAGAAATGAATTATGGCTATTTTATTTAAAAGATTGTTTTTTAAAAATTAACTATTTAAGGATTTGTTTGATATTTATTAGATATTGGATATTATCTGAAAGAAAAGACATCAAATTAGTATTTTACATGTAATGAGAGCAATAATTCAATGTTTAGAAAAATGTGGATATTGGCTGAAATATTCTGTTTGTTCAGAACTTTGATTTAGGTAAATGAAATATAAACTATTAAATTATCACTCTGTGCTAGTATAAGTAAATATGTTTAATACATTGTCACTATATTGTTATTTATAATCATCTCCAATATTCAACATTTGTTTGCTTATTTGCTACTTCATGATATCTTGAGATAAAATTAATGTGCTTATAGACAAAACAACTTGATAGAAAATGTCCCTTTTCTCATTTTGTACAAACTGACCTAATTTAATACTAAGTTTGTAGTAGGGAGCAGACTGGAGATCAGAAATCAAAAGTTAAAGTAAAATTTCACTTTTTAAGCTACGGAAAAAATGAATCATGGTTATGTCAGAGGGTCACTTCACTCTCTTTTCTTTGTTTTTGTTGAAATGACAAGCCTGCCAAGGCCTAGGCCTGCCTCACAACTGGCCAGAAGAGGCTTCCAGTCTCCATGGTGGTGATGATGCAGCCAAAGCTACTAATCCATTCTTGAATGAACTGTCAGCCTCCAACCCATTTCTGGATGACATCACACAGCTGAGAAATAACCAAAAAAGGGACAATGTTTCCATCTTGAAGGAGGATCCTTTTCTCTTTGTGAGACAAATAGAAATGGAAAATTCTTTTGATTCCTCAGGTGATGAGCTTGATGTGCATCAGTTACTTAGGCAGTCTTCCTCAAGGAAATCAGGAAGATCCAAGAGTGTTTCTGAACTCCTGGATATCTTAGATAATGCCACCCAAGCTCAGAGTGCACACAGCTCTGACCAGATCCTAATACAAGACTTAGAATGGCTGCAAAATGATCGAGAAGCTTATAAAATGGCCTGGCTAAGTCGCCGACAGCTGGCCCGCTCCTGTCTGGATTTAAATACAATTAATCAGAGTTCTGGATGGGCTCAAACACAAGTAGCAGAGACCATTATAGTTTGCAAATTAAACCACCAAGGAGGGTCAGTCCAACTACCGGAAGCAGATATCACCATACATGTGCCCCAAGGGCACGTAGCTGTAGGAGAATCCCAAGAGGTGTCTTTAAGAGCGTTTCTGGAACCTCCACCAATGCTTAACCATGATCTTTCCTGCACTGTAAGCCCTCTGTTGGAAATCATGTTAAGCAACCTTAATGCAAAGGAAGCTATTTTGCTGGAGATGAAGATTGGGGCTGAAGTGAAAACAGATCCTCTCAGCCAAGTCATGACAGAGATGGTGTGTTTCCACAGTTTGGATAGACAAGGCCCTTTCAAAGTGCTCAACAACTGCTATGTTTATAAAGACACCATCCAGGTCAAGCTCCTTGGTTTGAGCCGGGTGATGTACATAGTGATAGCTGCACAGGCTAAAGCCATTCAGCCACCGGCTGCCAGCGTTTGGGATTATATCCACAAAATCACCTCCATTGGAGTTTATGGACCCAAATATATTCATCCAAGTTTTACTGCTGTTTTCATGGTTTGTGGACACAACTATTTGCCAGGAAAGCTTACAGTCTCTGACATTAAGAAAGGTGGAACAAACAAAGCTCCAGTTGTATTTCAGCTCTGGGGGAAGCATTCGTTTTTACTTGACAAACTACAAGACTTAAGTATGTCTGCCTTTTCATGCGATCCTGATTTTAAAGTTAAGGTAGAAGGAGAAAAGAAAATAATTAAACAAAGGCAGTTAGAAGCAGGTTCAGTGGTTCATCAGCAAGTTTTATTTTCTTTAGTTGACCACAAAGAGATGCACTTGTTTGTTTTCCGTGTTCAGGTGGAATCTCCCAATGGAAAACCAGTTGCTCAGTTCTTTATCACGTCACCTGATCCAGCCCCAAACCTAAGTAGGCTCTCAAAACTGCCAGGTTATTTCCAGAAGGCGAAAGAAAGCAAGACAACTCCCACGTTACCAACAGGGCCTGTTAAGTATCCCACTTTCCAAAACAAAAAATTGAACTTTACCAACTACGGGGTTACCCTGAAGACAGTACTGAGGCAAAGTCAAATTGAGTATTTACTTGAATACTTCAAAGGGGACACAATAGCCCTTCTTGGCGAAGGTAAGGTAAAAGCCATTGGGCAGTGTAAAGTGAAAGAATGGTATGTGGGGGTCCTCCGAGGTAAGATTGGACTCATACATTGCAAAAATGTCAAGGTGATTACCAAAGAACAAGTGATGTCTATGTCTGATGGCACTTTGACAACCAGGAATCTTCTTGAACAAATTGCTTTGCCCTTTAAAAAACTAACTTATATATACTCAGTTGTATTGAATCTGGTGTCAGAAAAAGTTCATGACTGGAAAGTTTTGGCTGATGTCCTGGGCTACTCACATCTAACACAGGAAGATTTTGATCAGTTTCAAGCAGACAAAGAACCAGAAAAGGTTTCTTATGTTGTAAAGAAGTTAAAGGAAGATTGTCACACAGACAGAAATACGAGGTTTCTTTATGAATTAGTTGTGGTGAGTATTGTTTGATTGCAAGAATTTAAATTTTAAAAAATCTTGTTAATTTAACTAAATATAACTTAAAAAGTAGTAGTATCAAATACATTAAGGCCATTAACAGCAAATATAGAACTCTTCCTATAAGGTTGTAGAGTTGGATTCTTAGGTTTGAGAGTCAAGTGTGATTTTTCTCAAAAAAAGTCCTCAATGATCATCTTTTAAAGAGGACTTAAAGGTTGTGTTTATACTGGGCCTCATTTAAACTTAAGAAATGCTGTATCTTCCTCTCTTAAATATTGACAGCCCTTCAAATATTACAGAAGGCCCAAAACATGAAAGTAAATTAGAACAAACTTAAAAATACCCTGGCCATGGCTAGAAGCTTAGTTTTAAGTGTTTGTTTTCCCCAAGTACATAAGTGCTGCCTGCTACCTTAGCAATTTAATGTTCTTCTGAATATTCCGTCAGGACGGAGCAACGGCAAACCAATGCTTTCTGTAAGCCTCATAATTTAATCAGATTCTCAGGCTCAACTTTTTCAGCATGTATTTGCCTGATTGGGAAGATTTGTGTAGAGTTATAAAGAATTTGATTTAAGGCAGAAATTCAATGTTATACTAATAAAAAATCAAATTGGTATTTCTAAAGATGAATTGTAAATGGCTGAATAATAATATGAATATATTTAGTGATTTCTAAAGGATAACTAAAGTCCTCTTGAAACAGTTATATATGTGTATGTATGCATGTGAGGGGGCATAAAATGTAAATATGTACTGGTATGTATGCTAAATAGCATCCTAAATGTGAAAACTGGTATCCAGAGGAGATAACTAACATCACACAGGCAGATATAGATTGAGGAACAACGTTTTAATTAATATATAAACAGAAAAAGAAAAATGATAGAGAAATTTAATCTGTGACATTAATAATTTACATATTAAAATGATTCTACAATAAACCAAGAAGAGTTAAAATTTGAATATTCAAATATCTAGCTGATAACTGGACAGTTTTTTTTTTAATGGCATGCCGTAGTCTTACTTAATGTGGGCCCCAGTGACTGAATGCCAGAGCTGTTCTACCCTTTTAAAGCTGTACATTCATTTTGCAATGGCTTATTTACCTTTTCATCACTAAGAAGTTCAGCATGTACTCACAAAAGCCTTTGAATAAAAAGTTGCTTTTTACCCCCTCTTAGTATCTGAAAATGTTATATTGACCTAATGATTTGAAAATTCAAGACTGAGCAGATCAGTACTTGCAGGGAGGCATAATGAGTTATAGAATGCCTTGAATGGTTAATTAGACAATGCTGGTAGATACCCATTCAAGAGAGTAAGTCTTAAGGGAGCCCCAAAACTCATACTAGGCCTCAGCGGTGGCTTCAAGATATCACAACTTAGGCCTGGCTGTCAAGAAAGCATCTGAGTCTCCCCAAAAGAGTTATCTCCTGAAACATCTTTTTTCCTAACTCTTCATTTTCGGACCTATGTGGCTGCCCAAACTGATAAGCGAGACTGACTTCTTTTCTATAATAGCTGATAGATGACATTTTGGAAAACCTTTCAGCATCTGCTTTAATCTTTATATTTGTTATAGAAGGTGGTATTATCTCCATATCCATTTTAGAACATAAATGACATAATGAGTGCTTCGTGTGAACTGGATTTTGCAGTTCTAAAGCACCCCACATAAACTGAAGGGGCTTGATGACCTGGTATTGCTTTTCAATGGGGCCACTGCTGCTCAGTATAAATGGATGGATCCATAGAGACTATGTCTAAAGAACTGTCCTAACTGTAGATCTCATGGGGATAAATAGTGGATTTTAATTGTTGCCTGTTTTATTCATTTAATTTTACTTATTGTTTAAATGGGTAGGTAAAATCTCTAGGTACCCATAAATTATGAAGAAATGCCAAGCATGCTTTTTACTTATTAGCACAGAGATGTACAGAAATGTAAAACCATGGTTTGGGAGGCTGAAGAGATAGCTCAGTAGTTAAGAGCACTTGCTGTTCTTGCAGAGGACCCAGGTTCAAATCCCAGCTCCCACATGATGTCCCTATTCTGGTCTCTGTGGGGCACCCAGTCCTCACATGATGCACATAATGCAGGCAGAACACTCATACAGTATTTTTTAAAGTCAAGTTTTAAAAATATACTTAAAGTGCAAGAGAAATTCAAAGACTTACTTAAAACCTCCATGGTGAGAGATAAAGCTCAGATGTACAATAAATGATGATGGAGAATCTGGTGGTTTTCTGTTTTTACATTGTAAGAAACTGTTTTACCTTTAATACCTTGTGGTTTATATTTAAAACAGTTGCATTAGTAGTGAGATAGCCTAATTTTTTAAACTAAAAAATGTCAGTAGATTTGCTCAAAATTGAAGGAACACCATAATTTTATTCAATAAACATGATTCTAGGAAATTTTATATCATATTTTGATGGCACATAGAGTAATGTTTACCAACATGACTATTCTCTTTTCAAAAGTTCCATGATAAACCTCTGATAAGGCACAGAATTATTTTTTTGTGAGTGAGTAATTGCCCCTTGAATCATATATTTCAACTGCTAGAATAGCAGGGTACCATTGGAAGGATGCCATTTATTTTGTTCCTTTTCAGTTACAAGTATTAAGGGATATATTAGTAAAGTCGTTTATCCGTGATCCCATAATTAGTCACTGAGGTAGCCATAGCTCTCCCTTAATTCTAGTACTGTTAGGACCACTGTGGTTTGCTTGTTAAATTTTCTTGAAAGTGAATGAATCAGTGTTCTAAGTTCTGGTGGGGAAAAGGATTCCAATTTCTAGAATATATAATGAACATTTTAATAATTTAAAGGAAAAAGTCATTGAGTTGTTTTTAATTATGTCATCCTATTGATGCCACAGGCTCTGCTGAAGATGGATTGTCAAGGGTTAGTAGCTCATCTTATCCAAGAGGCTGTTATTCTGACCTCAGCTGTCAAGCTTGGAAAAGGCTGGAGAGAACTCGCTGAAAAGGTAGCAGGACTCACAAAACATCAAATGGAGGCATATGAAATTCCTCACCGGGGAAAATCTGGAACTGTTGCAGCCGAGGTGAGATGTTATGTATGTTCAATTCAGTTGTCACAAATTGCAGACTAAGTAAAAAAATTCTAATCAAGACTCTACCACATTCATGGATAAATTGAGGAACATTCAGAACGACCCCTTAACTGAAGTTACTACCTGAGTAACCCATTGGAACTATCTGAAATAAATGTATATTACTCTTGAGAGTCATTGAGAGGGTCTGGAGAGACAGCTAAATGGTTAGGAGTAACACTGCTTTTCTAGACGACCCAGGTTCATTTTCCAGAACCCACACTGGGCAGCTTATAACTCCCATAACTCCACTTCCAAGGGATCTGACACCTTCTTCTGACTTCCATGGGAAACTGGACTTACATGCACATACCCGCACAGAGACACACATGCATATACATAATTAAAAATGAAAAACTGCATAAAAATAAAGAGGGGCTGGAGAGATGGCTCTGCAGTCAAGAGCACTTACTGCTCTTGCAGCGAAACTGGGTTCAATTTGCAACATCCACATGGCACTTTATAACCATCTGTGATTCCAATTCCATGGTACCGGTGCCTTCTTCTGGCCTTCACTGGCACCGGCACTCACATGCATCTATTCACATACAGACACACATGCATACACACAATTACAATTTTTTAAATCTTTTTAAAAAAAATCCTTGAGCGCCTTTAAAACTATGCCTCTATTTCTCCTGTTGAATTTGATATTAACATGGGTTTTAATAAAATTAGTTGATCAAATTGGGTCTGTAAAATAGACAAAGCTATAGGAATTTAAGGCAAAGAACAGGCATATTTTGAAGAAAGCAACAGCACCAAGTCAAGACAATTCTTGGACGAAGTAATAATAATAATAAACAACAATAACTTAAAAGGGGGGAGGAGGAGGGGGGAAGGGGATGAGGAGGAATACCTGGATGCCCCAGACATATACTTAATCATTTCTGATAAATAATAAGTAAATGCTTGGTGACATGAACAGTTAGAGAGTGATGTGGGACCACTAGTAATTATAGACAGAGATACCAAAGAGCAGTAGTATAAAATGAATGTTGTTGGCACAGTATATAAATATTTTTCCAGGTTACCATAAAGCAATGTGAGCCAATTTCATTGAATTAAATAAATAAATATCAAATATTAAATAAAATAAATCAATTAAAATATTAAATATTAAATAAAAATATTCCACCCAAATATTAGATGTCCTGGATCTTTCTAACAAGTGTGCATTTCCGAGATGCATAACTTTAGCCCAATATTCTGTTTCTGGACAATTACTTTAGAAGTAGAAACCACAAAGTGCACTAGTTTTGGGGCACAGAGATATTTGAGATTCTTTTTCTTACTGTGAAGCAGCAATTTCAATTGCATGACTAAGTAGCAACCTTCCCATGAAGAAGAGAGTAAGTCAAGTCAGTTGAATCCCAGCAGCTGCTGGAGGTGTCCGGGGCCAGCCTCTGAGTTCCTGACGCCTGGTTCACAGCAAGGACTTGTAAACAAAACTCTAGCCAGGAGCAGTCATGGACTCAGCATGTATGTCCCACTCATTAACTGCACTTAGCTCCACAAACCTAGAAGGGAGTTGCAGTCGATTGGGGAGTGTGTTCTAGCAAGAGCATAGCACACAAAATGGACACAGGTGTTGACTGAGTGAGTGGAAAGATCAAGAACATTAAAGGAGAAGAGAGAAGTTCTATGTGGATTGTGCTGCTGTGGTTCTGCCATTTCAGCTAACCAATTAAAAAGCTGTCTAACTGAAAACTTGGCTTGTTTGGTCCTCAATAAGGCCTTGTTGCCTTGTTTTGAAGAGTTTTGTTTAGGCTTATTGGAGAGCTATTTGTTCTGTCAGCTTTCCTAAGCATCTGGATTCTTTCTAATTGTGTTTATCGTTGGTCTTCCCTCAAATCTTGGTGCAGGGTCACACATAGCCCATTTTTCCAATATTTACTTTTGCACAGCCCAAATTATAAGTGACTAAGCCTATGTCTGCAGCTGATAAAATCTCAGAAATATGAAGGAAAGCCCCTAGATGTTTTCTAGAGGCTACAGTTCAATTTATTACAACTAACCTAACAGCCATTGTTCTGACCCATGTTACCAAACACTTGGTAAAAAAATCCATGGCGTTTTGACCTGAAGCCATCCAAATAACCTATAACAATTTTTACCTGTTAAGCCATTTAAAGGGTATGTGTAAGTTAATTTCCATACTTCTAAATATTGTTCTGAAGTTTTTTTTCCCTTTCTCCATGTAAAGGGATAAATATTAAAAGTAACAATTTATAGTCAGGTAGTTTTTTTAGCAAACCAAGCTGAGTGGAGGTACAGTGGGAGGAAACTGACCCTAGAATAGTGAGACACCAATTTAATGGGTGCTGTGTTGTCTTTGTTTCCTTCATATCACTTACTCAGGGACACATGACCCAAATGGTGTATTTGGTGTGTGTGTGTGTGTGTGTGTATGTGTTTGCTTACACTTGGCTCTTGCTCTCATTTCTCTCCTTTTCAACATCTTTCTCTCTCTTTTTTGTTAGCTTTTAATGTTTAACAGTTACCCGGCACTCATCTGTACCGGGCACTGTTTTGAGAATATTACAAAAATTAATTTATTTAATAGCAACAAAAATTTGTGAGGCAGGCACAAGTGTTATCTAAGATGTAGAAATGATTGGTAACTTGCTTAAAGGTTGAATGCAGTGAAAATAAGGGTACCCTCTTGGGGTTCTTAGTCTCATTAATATAAGAATTTAAGATTGGACTCAAGTGGAAGTTTGAGCACAATTGCATTAGAGTTTAAAAGAAAAATTCCCAGGACAGGCAAATTGTAAAACTCAGTATCTGCCCAGAGGAGGAGAATGGAGGAGAGAAGGAAAGGTTGCTGTTTAAGCTGGGGTGGAGATCCGAAGCATGGCTGGGCAGAGAACTTTGGAGAAAGTGTAAGGAAGCTTAAAATGTTGAAGAAGCCAACAGTGTTAGGGAAAGCATGCGTAGAAAAGAGATGGAAAGAAAGAAGTTAGACTTCTGAAGAACTTAGAAAAATGGGAAGATTTAGCAAGCTACATATCTGTGGCCTGATAAGCTGCTGCCCTGGGCACAGTGGGATTCTAGAAAGAAAAAAGCATATGACCTCATTAGACAATTCATTCATTATTCCATCTATCTTCTTAGCTTAAGATGAGCCTGATATCCTACAGGTGATCTCTTTGCCAAGTGATTGGCGGGGCCCAACTGAATGTTAGTTAGATCTCCACCCAGGCCAGATATTCTGTTTTCTCTAGCAAAGGATGTTTCCTCTAATGGGTTTTACTGCTACTCTAACACTCTGACCTCTGAATGCATGTGAATGAGTATCCATACACATACAAAACAAAATAGGTGGACAGCCAAGTTTGTCCTCTGCTCTCTATGTGCAAACACGTGGTGCACCTATATATACACGAACACATGCAAAAGTGGGAAAGTAGGTGATTTTCAAACAGGTAAATTTAAGAAATATATATCTTATTGAATTTTTATGGATTTCATACAATACATCTTAATCACTTTAGCCCCCCTTTCATATCTTCACTTGTCCCATAGCCTACCCACAAGACTTCATGCATTTGGTCATACATGTCAAGGCCTATCAGGTCAAGCTTGTGCAACCAGATGTCCCTCTCTGTGAGTTCATCCACTGGAGCCTGTTCAGCCTGGCTATTGTAACTCCGCTAAAGAAGATCAACTCTCCTGCCCCAGCAATGATCAGCTACCAATAGTTCCTCGCCAAAGTTGTGACCTCCTGCCCATTTCCACGGTTCTATGCTGATTTTTGTCTGATTGAGCTTGCTTGTGTCTTGTGCATGTAGCCACCATTGCTATAAATGCATATGAGCAAGATCCCAGGAACCTGTAAGCCTGTTTCTTTATGGCCATGCAACTCCTCACCTGGCTTTTACAATCTTTCTGCCCCCTCTTCCACAATGGTCCCTGAGCCTTGGATGGGTGAAGTTAAATATAAGAATCCTGTCCAGTGACACACACTGTACAGTCTCTTAGTCTCTACACTTTGGCCAGTTGTGACCCTTTGTGGTCATCACCCTCTGTTGCATGAGGAAATTTCGCTGATGAGAGTTGAGAGTTAATATTCTCTCTACCCCTTGTTCCACTATGTTCCATGAGCCTTGGGTGTAGAGGTTCCATTGTAGATGTGTCACTTAGAGTTGGGCATCTCACAGACACTTATTTTCTGGGCATGAACAGCTGTGAGCTCAGTAATAGTCTCTTGTCTGTTGCAAAAGAAGCTTTTTTGATGAGTGGTGACTGGCATACTTGTCTGTAAATGTAAGGATCCATATTTAGCATACAGTAAGAAATTATGTTTGTCTAGGGATGTGACAGACTTAGGGATTTTCTGTAAAATATATTAACTCTCCAGCCACGTGTATTTGACCATGGTTACAGCACCCTCCCATTGAGTGGGCTTTAAGTCTAATTAGGTAGCTGTTGATTACCCACTAGATAAAAGTACAACTACTTCACCTGTATAGTTTACTCAAACAGTTAAATTTATTTGTTTATTCATTTATTTATTATTTATTTATTTATTTAAAGTGAATGGATGATTTTATAAAGAACTTGTCTTTTGTTTGCTGTTTTTCCCTTTTATGCTTGCCTTCAGTGTTTTATTTACCTATACACTTAACAGGCTTTCTGAATATAACAGTTCTTACCATTGCCTCAAGAATTAAAAACAAGAGTTTTCTTTTGAAATCTAACTTTCTTATTGACTGAAATAAGGATAAACTGTTAATGTTTGAGTGATTATAGTATTTTTATATTTTGATTTATTTATATTTATGTGTATGAGTGCTTTTCCTGCATGTATGTAAGCACACCACATATGGGCAAAGCCCACAGAGGCCACAAGAAAGCATAGAATCCCCTGCAACTGGAGTTAGAACAGCTGTTAGCTGCCATGTGAATGGGTGCTAGGAACTAAACTCAGGTCCTCTGCAAGAGCAGCC